GAACACTCTGATACTCAACCACCTGGACCCACTGAACTGGCAACAAAGGGGGATCTGGAAAAAATGAAATCAGAAATAATTTCTCAGATAACAGGAGAAATTGTGCTCCTAGTGCAAGACATGATTAATAAATCTAGAGAGGAGCTCAGGAACATGATGGAATCCCAACATAGGAAACAAATGGAATCCATAAAACAGATGCAAATAGATTTCCAGGAGATGAAAAACTCCATTGAAAGTCTATACAGCAGAATGTGCCAATGTGAGGACAGAATTTCAGATATAGAAGATAAGATTGCAATTAGTGACCAGGAAAAGAAAAACTGCTTCAAAATTATAAGGGAACATGAGAAATCAATCCAGCAGCTGCTCGATGATGCAAAGAAGAATAACGTAAGACTGACTGGAGTCAATGAAGAAACAGGAGAGAGTACAGATGACATAAAAAAAATCTCTTCACAGAAATAATGGCAGAAAACTTCCCAAACAGGGGAAAAGAGCTTGACATACAGACAAGTGAGGCACATAGGATTCCAAATAACCTTGATCAAAAAAAATCTACACATAGGCATATAATAGTTAAGATTCCAGAAACTCAACAGAAGAACAGTTCTACAAGCAGTTAGAGAAAAGAAACAAATCACATACAAAGGCAAGCCCATCAGAATCACAGCAGACTTCTCAACACAAACCATCAAGGCAAGAAGAGCTTGGAGTGACATATTCCAAGCCCTAAAAGAAAACAGCCTCCAACCCAGATTGATGTACCTTGCATTTTTGTACTGAAATAAGGAAGTATAGGATTTTGACAACTTCTCCAGAAGATACGGGTTCTTTGGATGCAGAACTCCTAGGATGAAGACTCCAAAATGTGGTTATGAAATATTAACAATTAATTTGTTAATAAGTATTGAATGATTACTTTCTATGTACCCAAACACTACTTGAGGCCCTGAGGATAAAGCAAAGAAGGAGAAAAACAAAAATCTCTGCTGACATGGAGCTTACATTTTAGTGTTGACAGACAATAATTTAACAAGGAAAGTAACAATTGGTGCTAAATATTCTCCTGAGAATTAAAAGGTATATTCACATCTATTCTAGCCAGGCTGGCCAGAAAGTGCCTCTTTGAATAAGTGGTATTTGAACTGAGTTCTTGCAGTTAAGAAAAAGCTACCCCTTTGAAAATTAGGATAGAACAGAAAATTTACTTTAAAGTGGTAAAACAGAATGAAGAATGAGCTCGGCCTTCTGAGGAACAGAATGAAAGCCAATGTCACTGGGACAACATAAACTAATGGAAAGTAAGTAGCAGATCTGGCAAATAATTGGCTATGGTAATGAGTTTTATTCTATGTGCCCAGGGAAAGCCACTGGAGAGTTTAAGTAAGTTTGTGATTTGACTTCTCTTTTAAAAGAATCACTTTGATTGCTGATTGAAGGACAAAGATCAAAACTGGGAACCCTGGTAGGAGCTTAACTGCAGTGGTTATGGCAAATAAAGACAAAAGTGTATATACCAATGGAGGAAAAGCCAAGGAAAGATTCAGGGTACCTTTTGGAGACAGAGACAACAGAAGCGACTGTTAAGATGTGAGAAGTGAAGGAAATCAATAAGTCAAGATACTACTAAGCGTTTGTGAAATTTGGTAGTTGATGGTTTAATGTACTGAAATAGGGAAATCTGGAGAATATATAGGTTTGGGAAATAATGCAGAAGTTGGGTCTTGGTTTACATTTGACAATCCTACTGAATAATTAAGTAAAGACTTTAATGGCAAAGCTGCTTAGTTGTAGCTCTGAGTAAACCTGAAGACTGAGAGTTAACAGACATACAATGACAATAACATATATAAACGAAAGGGTTTATAAATCATGAGCCTCTTTAAATCAATCAAGGGCTGTTCTTTTTAGAGATGTTTACCTTTGATGATTAGAATAATTATTATGAGAAATATAAGAGTACAGATTCTGCTTTCACATTGCTTACTTATGAATCACTGTTCTCCCATCCACCAACTGAGTAATACTGGACAAATCATTTAACCTCTCAGTGCCTCAACTGCTTCATGTATAAAATAGAATCCACTGTCTCACAATGTAATTTTGAAGATTAAATGAGCTAGTACATGTAAGGTAATCAAAACAGTATTTGGCATATAGCAGACCAGAGATGGTGAACCTTTTAGCAGTTTCAATAATAACAAACAGGCCACTGTGGCACATGTGCCATAGGTTCGCCACCACTGTAGTAAACACTCAACGTAATGCAAGTTGGTATTATTGCCTACTTTCTCCTGGCACTGTACATGGAAGTGTCTTAACACTTCAGTATTCTAGTTAGATGCTTAAGAGGTGGCATCAAAAACTCTTAATGATGCTAGGTATGGTGGTACTTGCCTGTAATCTCAGCATTTGGGAGGCTGAGACAGGCAGATCATTACGAGTTTGAGGCCAGCCTGAACTACATAGTAAGACTCTCTCTCAAAAAACAAAAACAAAAAAAAACTCACAATGAGCTAGGAAGTATATGAAAAGCTTTCCTCAAAAGGCTTGGAGGCTGAGAGGTATAGAATGCTAAGAACAACCTCTTTAAAGGTAAGTTGTGTACAAGTTATTCCTAAATCTGTTTCTTCAATCCAGATTCACATACTCAGTTATACTAGATTCTACTTGGTAATTTAATAGGCATATCCTTGGAATACAAGGAAAAAGCCATTAGTACTCTCTTCAGTATATGATCAAGTGATTACTTCTAACTAAACTCTCTTGGCTTTGCTCCCTCTGTAAGTCACAAAATCCATGCTGTATCTGAGTTTACAGTTTCACATTAAGAAAGTACCCAAACTAGTCAACTACATTAAAATCTCAGGCAGTGGATCAGCTCACATTAGCATTAATGTTTTGAAATCATGATTCTACTACATGTATTGCTAGCTATTGGTCACTTCAGATAGTTTCTGAAGGTAGATGGAGAATAAGGAAATAAGTAACATAAAGTAGTAAATGACCATTAAATGATTCTGGGCTCTGATGTGTAAAATAGATTGGGCTGCACACTCCTCAGTACTGGCAACTCTCAGCTATTTTATTCTGTGCCAGTCACCACCAATAATGTCACAAACAGGGTGACCAGTCATTCGGTAGAACAGTCCTAGCAAAAATTCTTATAGTATAGACTTCTATTCTTAAAAGTGAGTAGATTAGATTAAAAAGTATTTGTCTACCTACCTACATACATTATCGCCAAGAGCCTGTGTAGGCTAGCACGTGTGGATGTACTTATTCATTCCACTAATATCTACCAAACACCAACTAAGCACCCGTGGGCTCTGGTGCAATGTAGAACCCCAATACAAAAATGACAGATCTTAAAGAGCCATAAAATCTTAAGGTATATACCAGATCTAAGAAAATTCAAGAATAGCTAAAACACCACAGTTCCTTAGATGGCCAGATAGTAAGTAGTAGCTAGATGTTACACAGGTGTTATAAAGCACGCGAAACCAACAAATATTTCTTGACTGTGTGACAAAAATGCTCCATTGTGAACTGTGAACTGTGAACAAGTGACAGGGAAAGATGTTTATTTTTATAGGCAAGTTGCATAATGTCCAAAAGGAATAAAAGCATTATTACAACTATCTTTTCTTTTCCTGAAATAAGGCACTATTTCTCCTTTGACTATCAAAAATTAATTAAAATATTTTAGGCTTATCTTTCCCCATTAACTAGGAAGAAACAAGAAATCTGTAATCTTGGTACTCTGGGAAGCTGATGCAGGGGGATTGCAAATTCAAATCCAGCCTGGAAAATGTAGCAACTAAGAGACCCCCATCTCAAAATAAAAAATAAAGGGGTAGAAATGTAGCTCAGTGTGAAGGCCCTGGATTTAATGGCCAGTAGAAAAAAAATCTGACTTGCTCAGCTATGATTTCTTCCAAACTGAAAATGCTATACAGGTTAGAGTAAAAGAAATCACTAGTGAGTCATCCAACAGATGTCAAAGAAATTCATATGTTTAACTCTCAAAAATCATAGAAGCTACTGAGAAGAGAAACAGACCTTGAAGAATGATTTGAGAAAATAGTAATAATTGCACATTAAGTATTATGGGACTTTAAAAGTTCAAGGCCAATCTGTGGCGGGGAATTACTGCTATAAAGTGTCTGCTGCATCCAGAATGGGTACACGTAGCACAGTAGTAAAAATCAGTCAAACTGTGTTAAATAAATTCTAGTCTTATTGCTAACATTATGTGAACTTCTCAGCTTACTTAACATGTTGAGGTCATGTCTATCTTTAAAGTACGTGACTTCAAAAGGATGATCATTCTGGCTCAAATATTATATTCCAAATTACATGATAATAACAGCAAGAAAAACAACAGGTTATATTTACTGTACATATACTATGAGTGCAGACGCGCGTAGTTTTTTTTTTTTTTTTTTTTTTTTGACAAGGGTCTCCCTAATGTAGCCCAGGCTAGTCTCCAACTAGTAATGATCCTGCCTCAGCCTCCCAAGTGTCAGGATTAAAAACGTGCACCACCATGCCTAAGGCGTCTAACTTATATTATCGTCATTTAATGTTCATAACAACTTTATTTAAAAGATATTACTATCCTCATTTGGCTAGATGAGGAAGAGCAGAAACATCAGAATACCTCAGGGAGTCGTGATTTGAATTGAAGCAGACTGAACAGGGTACCCTTAACTACTATACAAGATTAGTTCTCTTCAGGAAAACTGGCTTGTCCAATCTCAAGGGGGAAAAGAGGAAAAGAAAAAGAAAAACAGCTTGTAAAAGGATCCTTCCTGACTGGCAGATCTGAATTCGTCGGTTTCTAGTCTTTAAGTCTTTCCCATCACCTCCCCCGCAACGATAGCGTGCTCCTACAGCTGCGCGCACCACAGCCCGGCCAGCCGCCGAGACTGACAGCGCGGGCCGGGCTGTGGGCACCGAAGGGCTCTGCGAGAAGAAACGCAGGCAGCGGGTACCTGGGCTGCTGGCTGGTCCTGCCGGCTGATTCTCCCACCACTCGTCTCCAAGATCGTCTGCCATCTCCTCACAAGACTCGAGGTGAGCGGACCAGGGCAAATCGGCGGGTAGCGTGAAAACTCGCTGCCTCGGAGCCCGCGACCTGCGTAGCGGCACGCGGAACCCTGCGAGACTCTGTCGCCTCCGCCGGCGGGATGACGTTACACCCCGCCCACCTCTCCAGCAGCTGGTTCAGAAGTGTCGCAGTTTCCACACAGGCGCGGAAGGGCAGGATCAATCTGGAAACACAAAATAAATCCTCCCAAAGCATACCGACGAGAAGACACGCAAAACAAAAAAAATCGCACTGTCTTTTTTGATGAAGTCTTTCAATATATTTAAGTTTTATTTTGCAAAAAGATTGTCGAAAGTGTGAGACACGATGCTAACAGGATTTTTCCCTGCTCAGTTTTCAAAGACTTTGAGCCGCGGGAAAAGGTCCCAGCACGTGTATGTTTTTTTACTTGTCAGTGTGTAGTTTAGGTGTTTGTACAGTTTTATGTTTGTATAGTGCATGTTAATGTATTTATATAGTTTGCCGTCAGAAAAGTGCACGAGAGTTCCCGACTATGAGTGTCGGGCCTTTGCTGTAGCTGTGGATACTGCTCTTTTTGTACCACATGAGTGAAGAAAAATGTGATTCATCAGGAAAGGCTCGTCGCTGGAAAGATGCAAGTGGCTCAGAGATTTGAGAGTCGCCTCCCTCTTGCTCTTTTGCTGTGGCCTACCCCATCCCTCTTTTGTGAAACGACAACAGGGGTGTTCATTGCTCCCTTACTGTAGGTAAGAGACCTACAGTGCTTCTTGTCTCAGACCAACTTGAAGTGGCAGGGATGGAGGAGGAAAACCCACTGGGCGCCAAGTGCTTGGGCCAGCTGTAAGACAATTGCGGACAATGTTTTTCAGGACGGGTTTCATACACAGAAGTATAAATCATTCAAAATGGATGACATGCACGCAGTATATCTAGCATGTGTGTAGAAGAGTGGCTTACAGATGGGTAGAATATGATTCCACCTTCCAGGTGTCATAAGAGAAGAGGAGAAAGAACTTGTAAGAATGAAGGTCTATACTTCCAAAATGATACATTCTCGGAAATAAAAAGACAACCATAATCTTGGAGATAGGAATAGCTATATGTAGAAAATTACCCAAAGCCCAAACTAATAAATGGTTTTTAAGCGCATTACTGATTAGACTCTGTCAGCAAACTTTACCCTAAAAGGGAGGGTATTACGTATAAATATGGCAAATGTAAAGTAGTCTGTGGTACTTGAAAGTAATGTGTCTTTCAGAAAGAAATGCAGACAAGAGAAGGTTTTGATAGCTGATAGATTATTGAAAAGCAAAGCTAGGTAAGAAATATCAGTTTGGAAGAGGGGCTATGGCCAATATATATGAAAAGATGCTCAGTCTCATTAATCTGGAGAATTCAAAAGAGAAAAGGCCAATGAGATGCTATTTTTTGTACAGTACATGACAAAATTAAGAAGTCTGGCAGTTATAAATTATGGGAGATATGTATATCAGAATTCTTGCCCATTGACATGAATATAAGTTAATATAACCACTTGAAAAAGCTATTTGGCACAGTCTTAAAAGGTGAACATTCACACTTCATGATCCAGCAATTCCATACCTAAATATATACTAGGAAACTTGTGTATTTGTACCAGGAAGCTATAAAAGAATATTACCAGCATCACTGTTAATTATAGCAAAACACTGGAAACAAGCCAAATGTGCTTCTATGATAAAGTGGGTAACTATAGTGTACTCATACAATTAAGCAGAGCATGTGAACACACATAATCACACAGGTGTACTGTATCTACCTTTATTTATTTATTTGGTCTCATCAACAGAAAAGTAACTAAGACTGTAGCCTTATCTCTTCACACTAGTATTGTACACAAATGTTACTATTTTCTGTGGACCCTATATTGAAAAGGTTGGCAAGGACCTGATTAGTGGGAAGGAGAAAAGGTTTGAAGGCTGTTTCTTGAAGGCACACCGTACAATGAAAGGGTTTTATGTTAGTTAGTTTTCCATCACTAGGACAAAATGGCTGAAAAAATCATCTTAAATGTCTATTGCATATTTTTGTTTGCTATTGCAGTGGTGGGAATTGAACCAAGGGCCTCATACATGCTGGGTAAGGGTTCTATCACTGAGCTATATTCTCAGCCGATGTTACATATTTTTCATCTCTCTGGGCTCACACTTTGTGGTGGTTAAGCTTACTTATGTCAGATTGATTGGCTTGGGAACTGCCTAGGGCAGTGATGGCAAGCCTATGGCACTCATGCCGCAATGGGCTATTATATCATTGACATCTCTAAGAGGTTTGCCATCACTGGCCTACAGGATTAGTAACATACACTCCAGGGTATGTTTGTGGGGGTCATCGAGGCGTGACTTTGGGTACTATATGTGGTCCCTGACTCCTTCCTCTCTGGCACTGTTTGCCTGCTCTACTTTCCAGCTGCCATGAAATAACTATCTTTGCTCTGCCATGCTCTTCTGCCATGTTTTTTCTGCCTTGGAGCCAGCTGACTATGGACTGAATCCCCTGAAATATGAGCCAAATTAAACCTCTTTTTTTTTTTTTTTAAGTTGTAGGTGTTGGATATTGTGTGTCAGTGGTGGGAAAGCTGACTAAAACAGTTTCAGAGGTTTCAGTCCTTGGATGCTTTCCCCTGTTGCCTTTGGGCCTGTGGTGAGGCAGTGTGTGTCATCATGAGCCATGCATGTCAACAGTATGTTCCCAATAACCTCTTTCCTCCAACTAGGTCCTCCTTCCTAGAGCTCCCATCACCTCCCAATAGTGCTATAAGTTATAGACCATGTCTTCAAAATACAAGCTTTTGAGAGACATTTAAGTACCAACCCATAACAAAGTTAAGACATATTAATAAACTTCAGGAAACCATGAACCTTGATTGTGTATTCAAACTTTTTCATCATTTAGGCAATAATAACAGTAACAATAAAAATAAGAACATATCAGATATCTCTCTAAGCATTTTATATCCTTCTTTTAGTGTTAGGTACTCTAATCCATTTTCTTTTTTAAAAGTGTATTTATTCATTTTTATTAGTGCATGTTTGCAGTACATAATGTTTACATTCCTTGTGTGGAGTTGTTAATGGACATAACACATTTTAATTCATTTTTTCATCTCCTTTCCCTAACCTCTTTCTCTTCTCTCTCCATCTCTTGATCCCCTTCCCATTTGAGAAAGATCCATCTCCCTTCTTCCTATTATCTTTTATTTTGCTTTTTATAATTTGGGATTCTCATGTAAAAGAAACCATGCAATATTTAATCTTGTGTGTCTAATTTATTTCACTTAACATTACAGTCTCAAAGTACATCCATTTTTCTAGAGATACTCAAGTCTATCTTTCTTTATGGAAGTTTATATCTTAATCTAAACATTATAACTCCATGAGGTACTGTGCTGGATTGGATATTTCCATTTGCCACTCTACCTTTCTAAGCCCTGAAATATTGACATAAATGTCCTATGAGCTCTGGTTTCAGATTTACATTTTGAAAATTGGAGGCATCAATAAAAAAAATCAAAGGATGAGAGAAAATCAACATCCTGTCTTGTCTTCTTTTCAGTAGTAGGACTAGATTGAGACAAGCAGAGGCCTAGGGGCATTTACTCTCAAACTGGCACTGGCACAAAACTGAGTACAAGGGGGCTCTGAAATGTCGTACCCGAAGTGCCTGCTTGCCTTGTCCTATTCCTGATCCTGGTCACTTTACTGAAGGCCACAGCTCCGGTTCAGCAGTTTTTTCCTCATAATTCTTCCTTTGAAGTCTAGTAAATACTTACTCTTTTAACTCTGAGAGTTGGGGGTAGTAAGGACTCTTTGCCATTACTAGCCTTGGGATTATGTACTATCACTAATTTCTCTAATCCTACCCTATGTTCACAAATATTTCTTTTACTAAATTCTTTAAAATTATATAGCTAAAAGTGATTTTTTTTTTTTGCTCTAAAAAGACCCTGATACAGTCGCTGCCTTATTTTGGGTTCCCCTCAAGACAGAGCCTGAGATAAGGGCATGGGCACATGTAGTTTATTTGGCAGGTGATCTCAGGAGGCAGGAATAAAGACAGGGAGAATGGGGAAAGGAATCAAAGATGGATATTTTCAGTAAGGTCAATATCTGGGTCTTTATCTTGTGGAAGACTCTCTGAAAAATGGAGGGAGGGAAGGAGAAAAGAGTGAGAGAGGGAGGGAGAAAAGGAAGGAGAGAGGGAGAGAGGAAAAATGGGGGGATGGAAAGGAAAGCAGAGGACATTTTAAGTGAGGAGACCATAGAATTTTTACAAAACTGGCTGCTCTATAGGAATAGTAGAAGAAGGAAGACCAGGTCAGAGGCCGTTGTAGTCATCCAAGTGAAATAGCAAGAGCTTGGAATATGCCAGCAAAATGGAAATGAAGAGACCTGGAACTGAATGAGGTCACTTAGGGAGAAAGTATAGAGAAGAGAAAATGGCTCCTGACCTTCCACTATTTAGATGCCCAATGAAAGAGGAGGGGTCCAAGAGCCCAGGAGAATATGGAACATGGAAGACCAGAGCCAGGCAAAGTGATTTCATGAAAGCAAGAAAGAAGAGTCCCAGACAAGGGTAGGCTGCTAAGAATCAAGGAAGAAGGAATAGTTATAAGAGTTAGATACGTGCAGAGGTGAACAGATGGAGATTCAGAGCTATGTGGAGATGTCATCTGATGCAGCAGGATTACTTCATCCTAGAAGGGTAGGAAGAAGGAGGAATTCCTACATTGTGACTTCTATTTTCTCAAAGAATTCTGAGACCTAGTAGTGATCTGGGACAGTATTACTTTGAAAGTCTGACTGTGTGATAAAATTTCCTACAAAGATTTATTAAAAATATAAACTTCTGGTCACTAACTCTCAGAGATTCTGATTCAGTAAGTCCAAATGCGATGTGCTAATTCAGTTATTTTAAAGAATTCTCAGGCTTGCTGATGCATTGCCAATTTGGGGATGTATAGCATTGGATGGTATTTTAAAGGAAGAAATGACAAGGAAAATGTAATCAGATGAGTTGTCATGAATTATTTCTGAAGTATGTCTTTCTTGATTAATCAAGTGAATCTTTATAGTAATTTTTAGTTATT